TCTTTTAGGGCGATTTTTTGAAGATAAGTGCATAAATCATCATTATACTGGCGTGCAGACATTTTCGCGACTTCTCCCTTGAGATTCTGGCAGTCCACTTTGTAACTCAATCCGTCCTCAATGTGCATTGTTATAAGAGTGAGTTCCTATTTGACTGCAAAACTGCCAAAGAATTTTTTATTTAAATTTAGTATCGTGAATGAAATCGTGATCCTCCAGGGATTTAGCAAGCAATAGCATTTTTGCTGTGTGAGTTTGGGGATCCAAAAACGAATTACGAAGAAGTAGCATGCAGATATGCCACAAACGCACCTTTTCTGTAGGAGTGAGTATCGGAGTGATTATTTAATAACAGAGCACATAAGATGACCAACGCGGTTATACATTCCCAAGATAACGTCATCTAAAGAAACTAGCAAGGCAGCTGGGCAAGTAATCCCTCGTTGGAATCCGGGATTTGATTTATCCGGGCAATTCTGCTATGAAGATAAGGCCAAAAATCTAAATTTTTCTGAATATCGTCTAACAGTTGGCAATTTTAAAGCAATTTAACGTCCTTTCGCTCCCTTGCCCTCCCCTATGACTTCAGGCAGAAATTCCTGATAATTTTGAACAATAAGAGCCAAAAAAGATATAAGCGAGAGGTTTTGGGGTACAAGTAAATGCCAATGAATTTATAGCTGAGGTCTTAAATCTAAGACACAGCGAGTGCCAAAGTCACCGTGCCGGACAGCGCCATCAAGGATCCATTGGGATGCACCTACACGCTGGACACAGAGCTATGCCACGCGAATTTTACAAGCTAAAAAGCGCGCAAGCTGCAAAAATTTAAAAATTTCGATCCTAGAGCAAAGTATTTTGTAGTTGACTGACGTGTAATCAGACGTAAAGTCTTCGTTACTGATCACAGAAAGGCCGTGATTATTATTTCCAGACAAAAGCCGCGACTCTGAATGTTCATGATTTTTGCGCGACAAAAGCAACATGTTATTTTGTACGGCACTGCCACTGACTGTTCATAAAATACGTGTGGGAGAAAGAATCTTATTATTAAATATGGGAACTGTAATTTGTGAAAAAAATACAAGACAAACTCCTTTGTCTGCTTGCAGCCCTTTGAAATTTTTTAATTCCAGCCAGTTTTACACACTGAAGCTGTAAACTAGTGAATGGATGTACCAGAAATTTTTCTGGAACTTCGTTCTGCAAGCACAGCAGCGAATAACAACAAGCACATAAAATACAAGCATCGAATTCTTTTTTTTCGTTCAAAAGTTTCTCAACACTTTGCATTGTCACAGCTATCTGTTACAGAGTGGATTTTGTGCTGCAGTGCTGTAGTACAACACTTGGATCACTACTTATGGCAATATCCGTAACTGAAGCGTTTTGTGGTGTTGGAGAATTTCCTGATGATGGTGATGATGATGGTGATCAGAATGCAGGTACTGCTCTGACCTCATAATTATGTTCCAAATTTCAAAATCGATTTTTTTTTCGAATCTGCTCACTCTTTCCCTGATAAACTGTTAAAATGTGTAGAAATAGTTTAAGTATTAAGCAAGGAGCTGAAAGATACAGAGCAGGCGAGAGTGTCTATCAGTGGTGCGGCTATACTAATAATGCCTGCTTTTTTTGAGTAATTCATT